ACCAAACATTTTACAAAAGTTCTGTAATGGGTTTCAATATGTCTGTACTTATTGGAACTATATTTTTTATAACATCACCACTTAGAGAGGCATGTGCACTGACAATTAGCAGCCCGGCCATACACAAAGCACACAAAGGTAGCGTCCTTCCTAAATATTGACCTTAAACAGCGTTTCTCTACACAGAAATGTCACAGTCTTCAGGAAGGAAACCGCTCTACTTATTTACTTAAATGAATAACATGGTCTAACAAACACAAGCATACAGCAAATATAAGTGCACTAATATTTGGGTTTGAGGCAGTCTTGTAATGAATTGCTGCAGCATGTGCTGAATTTAATTCATCTCGCATCCCCCAGTTTACCAGGAACCTCTGACTGTCCCACTTGCACTCTGCCTAATGGCCCGTCTTTCTCGGGACAAAACGCGTTACAAACCGCTCAGGAATCTCATGCTCCCACCCTCTGGGTTACGAGGGGTTTTAAACCAAGAGAGGGAAATGTTTTCTTCCTTCTTGTAAATGTAGCTCCCTACTGAGCTAGGACAGGCAGTGCCAGCTCTGAAAATTCAGGATTAATCAAGCAATTAAGAATTGATATCTAGTGACTTCTCATGACTGGAAATGAGACATGCCGCATTCATTTGAGCTCTGCGAGAACCCAAAATAGCTAACCTAATTTTTATGGGCAGCAAGATTATTTTAAATCTTTTGGGGAGGAGAAGGAGAAGGGCTAGAGCTTCTTCACTTACAACCGATTTCTCCAAAATCCATGTCGGCTTTTTGCACATTACTCAGCAAAGGGCTGGTCCGTACAGGGAGCTGTTCCAGCAGAGCCGCCGTGCTTCAGATTCACACCCTGCCTTGACCTCAGGGAGTCTGAAACAGCACAGAAATCCTCAGAGAGCAAAAGCAGGGCTGAAGTTTTGCTTTCCCTTCCTCATGTGCTAGCATAAACAACCACACCGAGCAGGAATTACATCACCTCCAAGCTGTGGTTTCCTTTAAGCCTGCAAAAGAATGGCAAACATTTCCATTCACATAATTATCGGCAGTGGCTCTCTCACACCTCCTGCTTCTCCCGAAGCTAAATGTTGGGATTATATGGACTTCAGTGCCCTCTTTTCACATGAGCAGAGAGAGCATTTGTGGCTTAACTGCAGCCATTTGCTCTTCTTTGTCTCAACCCCCTCTACAAGTCCAGGAACTTTTTCGGCAATCAAGAAGACTTTATGGGGTGGGTGCGCAGTAACTCGTCACGTTCCCTCCATAAACATTTATTTGGCGAATTACAGCATATGTAATTGGCCTTTCCATGGTAATTTGGCTCTTACGAGCTTTCCTTATTGCCAAAATGGTGGATACCTCCGTAAAAGAGAGCAGTAACTTTGCCTGCAGCTCTGCTACTTCAGCAGACAGATCTCAGCCAGGCAGATGTGAGCCGGATCAATACCTGCGTGAGAAATCAAAAACGTAGAGCAAAGTGCTACAGAAACTGATACTGGTGACTCAGGGAGAAACCCTTTTCTTTTGTCCTTTTTTTTTTTTTTTTTTTAAGCTAGGAGCAGCTCAACAGCTCCTCCTCACCCAGCTCCTGCTTACCCAGCTGCTGGACAACCTGGCAGAGATAAGAACATGGTAACCTGAATTTTGTTCCCAACTTTACCTCTGACCCTCTGCAATTTTGGAAAAGTCATTTAACCTCCTGAGGCTCCATTTCTTCACCTATGAAACTGAAACATCATACTGAGCCTTGCATGGGACTTTGAAATCCTTGATTTTTAAAGGCGTCTGCATAAAGCACCATTAGGAGCATTACAGGGCTAATGCCCTCACAACTGCGGTACAGGTATTTTGAGTACTACCATTGCCCCTGGAAGTGCTCAGATATCACTGCATAAAATTGTAGGCAGACAAATCTTTCAGATGGGATAGAAAACAGAGGCCCTGGCTGGCTATTAAAAGCTGTAACGTTTTGCAGAAGCGCATATGTTAGCTTTTCCATGTTCACCCTGTTCCAATTTGGGTAATTACATTGCGACTCCTCCAAGCGGGGTAGCTGACCTGCCTGGCCCTACCAGCTGTATATCTAAACCTTCATGTGGCTGAGAGCTGCAAAGCACAATTTACATGATTCAGAAAAGAAAGAAAGCTGAAAGAAAAGAGGAGCTCCAGGAGAGGTTCATCAGCAGGTGAGGAAAAAGCCTCCCTCCCTGAACCAGGTGATGCAGGTGTGCGGGCTGTGGCAGCCTTCCAAAGGCTGGGCCTGGGGCTCCCCAGCGCCTCCCGCCACCCGCCCAGCCTCTCCACTGCTCACATCCCCCTTGCAACCACCCAGCCTGACCTCCTGCGTCGACCGCACTCACGCCAGGAGCTCACAATTTCTGTCCCCTGTCACTTCTCCCTGGAACCTGCCCCGGGTTGTCAAAGCGCCGTCGCACCCTGTCCTCTGTTTCAGCAGCCAGTGCTGCGAGCCCTGCAGAGACACAGCTTGCAAAGCAGGCTGGCAGCTTAAAGGCCTAGTTATTAATAGTGAAGTACCTAGTAACGTACTAGTTACTAATAGTAACCTGCATTTCTCTTTTGCCATTAACTAAAAGAACCATTTTATCCCTGACAGTGAGTGGAGACTCGTTTGCCCCAAGCCCAAGCAAGAGATGACACTGAAGGTTCACACCCTCCTCTTCTCTCCGAGGTCAGGTAGTCATTACTGCTCTCTGCCCTCCTTCCCTTTTATTCAGAATAGCTTACCTCCACGAGATACCTCAATGTGAATAGCAAATCTTGACCACCAAGCAATCCCAAAAGAAAAAAAGAGAAGAACCAGCAGGCATCAGCTTCCTGACAAAGCAAAGAGGAGGAGCAGCTACAAAGGATTTTTTGCTATTGACACACAGCAAATTTTCCCAAACCCAAGATAAGAAGCCCCTTCTTCTAGCTGGTGAGGGAAAACAGTGGCAGCTCCAAGCAGCCCCCAACTCCCAGCCAGTGTTGTATTTCAGGCACCAGTCTGACCCAAAGAAGTTGTTGGTACCCGTCCTGCCGCCCCTTTCACGGGCAGCCCTGTGCCAAGGCACGGGTATCTGATGAGGCTGTTTCTCCAGACTTCATGACCGAAAAGGAGGTGAACCTGTCCTGTCCCCATCCCTCCACATGTGCTGGTGGCACCTGGGCCATGGCGCAGAGCTGTGCAGGGTGCTGCCGGCACTGACCCCACGGGTAGGAGACCGTCCCAGCTGCCTGGCTGTAGGTGCCCACCCGTGGGGGTCTGTGGTTTGGGGGCTGCCAGGGGTGCTGGCAGGGGGATGTGGGCAGGCAGGGGACAGGAGAGGGAGCAGAGAGGACCTAGGGCACCATCTGGTGGCTTCACTCTCCGCCTTCCCTAAATCCCCGTCTCTCAGGGTCATTGCACAGAAATAAGCATTTCATCTGGGTGCTCCTCAGTGAAGCACCTCCTTTTATAAAGCCCTAGTCCTCGCTGGAACTTTAGACACTACTGCCATAGAGATGTTTAACAAGTGACACTCGTGAGAAGGAAAAAAAGAGGATTAAGAAGATAGAAGTGATGAAGGAGAACACTTTGGGCTACACCTTGGACATACATTTAATTGTAGCTATCCATCAAGGCAAGCTTTTGTTGTCTACAGATAAAAGGCAAAATATAGTTGGCATACTTCATACTACAGAACAGAACCCATACAAGAGCTTATACCCTACGGAAAAGGATGAAACCAACACACGAGCGGACCACTGAAGTGCATCCAGTGTTTGGATGCACTTCAAGGATTGCTGGAAAGGATTGTGAAGAGATCGTTTTAAAGGGACTAGATATCTCGGTGTCACCAACATTCTTTGCAGCTACGCCAGCTCAGACAAGGTGAGGATGATCAGAGCGCATGTCTCAGGACCAAAGGCTCACTCCTGGTGGAGAGGGCAAAGGATCCTCGTGCTAACATGGCACCTCCTTTAGAAGAAGGTAGACAGCACATTTCCACCTCCCGCTGCTGCTCATTTTGACGCTGGGTCTCCACTGCCCTGAAATCCCGTCAATACAGAGGGATACTTTCTCTCCGCTTTCCTGGCACCTGGGAATTAAAGTTCATACCACCGTAACCCGAGTGCACGTTCTGCACCTAACAGCAGCATGCTGGGGGAAAAAAGCAGAACTGTGGCCCTTGGGGACGTGGTTTTAAGGAGGAATCCACTCCCAACATTCAATTTAAAGCAAAATGTGTGGAATAAACACAACAAGCCAGTCATCACCTCTCACCTTCGTGGAGCTAGAGGAGCTGACCCTAAATTTCTTTTTTTCTATATTGCTCAACACTTAAAAATTAAATCCTTTCCTCTTGCTGGTAATACTCATTCTCTGCATCCATTCTTATGGGCCATACAGCCGGGTAAGATAATGAGACCAAACAACTACCTTTTTTCGGGACAAATATCTGCTACCAAGTAGTTATACCAATATTGTATAAATTGTATTTACTAGTCTCTCCTACCTGTGCCTGAAGGCATCTCCTCATACCTCCCTGGAAAACTCTGTACCATTTAAAAAACACCCCTTCTTTCACAATCTGCTGCTTTGTACCTTTCTCGTTCTCACACTCTGACTCTACTGCAGCTCCCCATGGTGCATGATGCTAAAGAAGTGATCCTAGCTTAAAACTTTATTTCCCCCCCCCCCCCCCCCCCCCAACCCACTCAAATCAACACACTGACTCCCCCGCCACCTTCCAGCACTTTAACACTATTTTAGAATAGCCTGTTCTATTCCAATTACCCTCTTCTCTTACGTTTCATTTTAAACAGCTTCAGCTGTTTAATATATAAGTTGTTCAGACATAAATGTAAAAAATTCACTATTTAAAGACATAACAGAAAGACAAAACCAATTAACTCACGGCAAATGAGATCCTTGCCAGGAAATTTCCAGTAGTACCCATTATTTTTAGCATTTATAAAATTAAAAAAGCGAAACACAAAAACTACTCAAAGCAGTATTATTTTGAAAGTTTTAATTCTTCATCTAATCCATCAGCTTCTTCTGAATAATTAATTGCCATACTGCAATATATTCATAATTCACCTCCACTATTTTTCAAATTCATTAAGGAAAGTAATCGTTATACCTATGCCAGCCTCCATGAATCCTTCTGTGAATACAAATGTTTTCTCCTAATTTATGCTCCTCTGGTCATACTAGTAAACACTAAATTCAAAAATATTTATTTATAATTTTCACGATCATTTAAGAACTAGAAAATGGGTCTAATAAGCCATGCTGTCTATTCATTGCTCTTTCTGCAATGCATTCCTCAACATTGGGAAGAGAGAAAGCATTTTCTTGTGGTTAAAGAAAGTCCAAATTCCATGTTTGAAATCTCTTCTAATAAAAAGAGCAAAGCAATAAGCGGATTATCTCTTTAAACATAGTATAGGAAGGTTGGAGGCCCCGGAGACATTTTCCATAGTCTCTATCTCTGATGCATAGCAACATTATCTTCAACTAGAGAGGGTCCTACGACCCTGCAGCTCAGTTTTAATTTGATCTTCTTCTTTAAAGAGGTTTCTGTGATCCTTCTCAGGTTATGCCACATATTCTTATTTGGAGTTGGTTTTGTTTGGTTGTTATTTTGTTGTTTTTAAACTGAGATAAAACAGCCTCAGCTTTTTGATCCGCTAGTTTGATCACGTTATACGGATATTTAACGTAACCTCCTCCCTATCAGAACTAAAATATGCATCAGCACAAATGGTAGGCAAGTGCCAGCTAACAGGGGAGAGAAGAGCTGGGACAGAAAACTCCCATCTAGGGCCTCCACCCTCACACCAGTCATTGTGAGTTTCAAAACAGACCTATCCAGCCAAATGATGCAAGTGGGAGAAAAAGGGGGCTATATACCCTTCTTGGGAAACACTGGCCAGATGAAGCCAAAGACAAACCCATTGATTCTGCTGGGGCAGAGGTACCACGTCTGCTCCCACTGAGCCAGCAAAATCCCTAGAGGTAGCAGCACCCATTGCCAAGGTCAGGAAGTTGGGGAGCTCAGTTTGAGCTTCTCTAGGCTGGAACCTGGCCCCAGAGCCGCCTGGTTTACGCAACCCCAGGGAGGGAGTTTCCTCAGGGACTCCCTCCAAGGACTTTGTTCTGGAAAGGGCACTGCCACAGAGACATGTCCCCAGGCAGGGATATTTTCTCTGCCTTCTTTTTCTCCATTTTTATCTCTGTTCATACATCCATTCCTCACCATATACTGCTGATATCGCTGAAAGGAAAGCATTTACTTGGAGGCACTGATTTGAGTCGGCTGGGTATGGTCACAGCAGGCATCTGTGACTACTTGATGGGATTAGCAGATTATGAGAAAGCATGTTTCGCCATGGGGTTCCCGGGAAAGGAAAAATAGGCAGGTGGATGCTTGGATCTCGGTTAAACTATGTGTGAAGGCCTGATGGCCACGTCAGGAAAAGCCCTTTGGCACAGGATCAGATGGACTGCTGCAGGTCAGGATTGGAAGATCAGGCCAGGAAGCAGGGAGGTCTCTGGATTGTGCTATCACTTACAGATGATCAGGTTTCAAGTATTTCAACCAGGCCAGGTGAGAGAAACCTGCACAAATCCCATCTGCACCATTTCTAAGACACAGCGTGTGAATGCTTGACAAAAATAGCTTTTCTTTTGCATCAAATGGCTTTGCTGCAAAATAGCTGTGCCGCATCAACGGAGACGGAGCCCCAGTGGGATCTGAACAGCTGTATTCTGTTGTTAATGAAGGGCAGTTTGGAGGGAGCCAAGGATTCAGAAGTCCCCCGGGGCTGTGCCCTGAAGTCGCTGTGGGTCTTTGCAGAGAACTGAGGATGTAAGAGAGTAGTTCTGTCTTACAGAAAGATGTCTGGTCCACACAGGGTCAGTTTTTCCCTGTTAGATATTCTCATACAATGTATCAAAGGATTCTTCTAGAGTTTCTTGCTTCTTAGGTGTCTACAGAATGATGAAAAGAAAAAAAAGAGCAAAATTATTCAAAAGAAGTTTAATTAATTCTTAATAAGCAGACACTGACGTTTGTTCTGTTTGAAATGGCTATGAGTGATCCGCTGAAGCGGAAGCCACTACACCGAGAAAGGCTGCTCCGACAGAGACGAACGTGACTAATCCAGCCCAAGGGATAAAGATGCCTCCTTTACTTGTCACTCTTCCCCCAAAAAGCTGTCAGACAGGGAGGGGAGGGAAGATTGGACTTGGTGAAAAAATAAATCACTTTGGATTCTGTGAAGGAGGAATTCCCTGACCTCCTCAATCCTGTTTCTTCAACAGTTGAGTCTATTCCTCACAACTGTTCCTTGTGTAGACAAGGCGCTGACAGACTGATATTTTAAGCGCTGTGTGGCACAGGCCTGCTGTAAGCAAGGTTACACAGCAAGTAGCTGAAATGCCAAGGGGTGAAGGAAGCCCTACCTACACTAGCATTTTCTCTGTTGCCCCCACCAAAGGGAAACGTTTTACAAAAGCACGGAGTGCAGGCACCTCCAAAGCATGCACACACACCAGAGAATTAACCCGTTGCTGCCCAAACTGGCTGACAGTCCAGTGCAACAGCATGCAAACGCTCACGCTTCAGGTGCTCTCTGCTCCGCTTCCCTTTACAGCTCCCCCTCTACATGCAGCATCCCGCAGCGGGGACTGGCCTGGACCCTCAGGGGCACAGTTCAGCAAGCCCAGCCCCTAGTCCCAGGCCAAACCCGCTGGCCCACCAGCCCACTCGCTCAGGGAAAGCATCCTGTTATTTGCTGCTCAGCCAGGTGGAGGGAGCTGTTGTAGCCCCGGAAGACTGAGAGGGAAGCAGATCGAGGCGTTTGCAACAGTAGTGGAAAGCATAGCCAAATTCTCTTGTGCAGAGAGGACCTGTCTCCCTTTTGGGGGGAACCAAACTCATTCTCGGCTTCCGTGAAACAACCTCAGAGTTGAATCCACCCCTCCTCACCATTTTCAATCACTCTGTTCATTGCACGGACAGTGCAGGGCCCTGGCATCCCTTTCCATTCCTCACAGTTGCTCCTATTGGAGAAAACTCCTTTTCCCTCTGGAAAGCAGAGCCCTGAGAGGGGACATGGCAGGAGGGCTGGTGTGGCCCTGTCGCACACGTTTCCTTCCCTTCTGAGCAGCACAAGGGCTGAGCACATTCAATGGTGCCTGCTCTTGGCAGCGAGAGCTCATCCTGTCACCTCTTGGCTTTCTTCTTCCTTGTCTCCCCCCCCGCCCAGTCTCAGCTTTGACCTTTCCTCCTCCCTGGCTGAGCCTGCAAGAGCCACACTCACGCACCCACAGATGCTCCTTTCCTCTTGCTTTGCTGCTTTGCTCCTGCTCTGTTTTACAGGCCTGCTGGTCCCCAAAACAGCGGCTTAGCGGTGTGGGCCACACACAAGTGCTTTGGCATGGCTTAGATAGCACCATGGTAGCAAAAAAACCCACATGTACCACATCTCATAATCAGACTGGATTATATAGAAGAGGGCAGCTGATAAGGGTACACAGAAGAATAAACAGTACAGGGAAGAAGGATCAGGAGCCCCTGCTTTCCCTCCCTAACAATACAAAATGCAGCAAGAACACAAAAACAAGGAATACTGTATTTTCCAGTGCATAAGATGCCCTGGGATGTAAGACAGCCTATATTAAACAACTCATCCTTCCCCTCAGTAATCAGTTGCAGTAATCAGATACTTGCCGCTGTCTCTGCTACTATCGCTACGGTGGCACAGCGGTAACTGCAGGATGACAGTGGCCTTGGGAACAGAAGACATGGCAAATAGCTCTGACATAGAAGAGGCCTCTTGATTTTTGAGCACCTTTTCCTAAAGGTTAACCTGGGGGACTCTCCCCAACAGGACA